CTTCCCATTTGCCAAACCTTGCAAAAGCTAATTCGCCGAGATGAAGCGGCGTTTTCGCAAGCCCCTTCCGAGCGCAACATGCAACAGGCTCCTGGGATGACGCAGCCTCCCGGCGGCGCCTCACTCACCTCATAAGTAGAGCGTCCCGATCTTCTTCTGCGATGCCAGGAGTCTGGTGGTGGCGGCCAGGAGGGCGGGTGCGTCGCGGGCGTGCCGGTACACCCCTGGCTCCAGCCTCAGCTTCCGCTCCGCCTCCAGGAGGGCGCGGGCGGTGCCGCTCATCCCGAGGGCGTCGGCGGGCGCGTTGCTGCCGCCGCCGCCGCCCCCTCGGCCGTCCCACACCAGGTTGGTGAGGCTCTTGGGCCGCGTGAGCTTCCGGCTGCGCTTCTCGGGCAGCTTGGCCTTGATGGCGGCCGACCCGCCCGAGTCGGCCGAGCCCTTGCCGCCCGACGTGCTCGAGTCCAGCGTGTCGAAGTCCATGGCCAGGTTCGTGAGCGACTTGTAACGCAGCTTGAACAGCGGCGAGGGCGAGGATCCGCCCACGCCCACGGCCGGGGGCGCCACGCCGCCGCCGCCGCCCGGCCCCACACTCACCACCTCCATCAGCGCCTCCTTCACCGGCGACGCCGACTTGTGGCGGAACATCCGCGCCTTCTGCGAGCGCTGCTGCGACGCCTTCACGAACAGCTTGTTGTTGCTGGGCTTCTCCTGCAGCGGCGTGGAGGGCGAGGTCAGCTGCGCCGGCGACTGCTGCGAGTGCTGGCTGAGCTGCGGCGTCACCTGCTGGTGGCCGCCCTTCTTGTCCTCGGGCTTCCGCGAGCGCTTCTCGACCCGTCGCTCCGTGGCGCGGTCCAGCGCGGCCGAGATCAGCGCCGGGTGCACCGACGGAGACAGCTTCTCGTGCGCCCGCTGCTCGCCGCCGCGCCGCGTCGGGATCGTCTCGATGGGCGGCGGCGTGGGCCTCGCGTCCGTCCTCTCGGGCGACATGGGCGCCGCCTGCGACCTCCTGCTGGGGGTGGACTGCTCGCCGCTGGCGTACGGGGACTTGATGTGCTTGGGCAGCGGGGCGAAGCCGCGCACGTAGTCGTAGATCTGGTCGATCTCGTCGTAGTCGTCGGGGACGGCGTTGCCGCCCGCGGAGGACGTGGCGTCCGGGGGGCTCTTGGTGCGGTGGTGCGGCCGGTGGTGGTTGTGGTGGTGGTGGTGCTTGTGGCGCTGCTTGTTCTGGTCGGGCCAGTTTGAGAACCGCGGGTCACGCATGCCGCCGCCCTTCGTGCCGACCGACACGTCGTACACGTGGATCCTGTCGGCGACCTCCTGCAGGAGCGAGGTGGCGCGCTCGCACAGCCGCATGAACTCCTTCGTCTTCTCCACCTGGTCTGCGTTGCGGGCGTGCGCCAGCTTGAGGGGCGCCTGCGGGGGCAGCAGGATGAGCGGGGCGTCCTTCCCGAGAGGCAGAGCCGCCAGCGGCTCCTCTGAGAAGGCGGCGAACAGCCTCAGCTCCGGCAGGAACTGCGACGCCGCCTTGGCCCCGACGGGCGGGCGGCCGTGCACCATGCGCACCATGAGCGGCAGGCGCTTGTTGAGGAGGTTGCGGATGCTGTGCACGCCGCTGATGTTGTCCTCCTTGGCGATGGCGGAGAACTTGCCGCGCGCGTCGTACGGCAGGTACACGTTCTGGCCGGCCTGGTCGAAGCAGCGCAGGAAGCGGTGCTGGCTCTTGCCGTTCTTGGAGCCGATCACCTCGCCCACCAGCACCAGCGTCTCGCCGCTCTGCACGGCGCGCGACTTCTCCGTGATGGTGTCCACGTCGTCGGAGCGCGACACGTACGCCTTGATGCTCTCGCGCACGAGCGCCGAGTCGGGGAAGCGCTTGGCCAGCTCCGCCACGCTCTCCATGCAGCGCACGGCGCGCCCGTCCTCGCTCAGGATCTCGAAGAAGCCGTCGTAGGACTCGGGGATCGTGAGCTTGGGCCCGACGGGAACCACGCGCCGCCCCTCCTTGAACTTGACGCACTGCGCGGCGACACGCAGCCCGCGCCCCGCAGACAGCAGCAGCAGCGTGGACGCCAGGCCGGGGTTGGCCAGGGAGGGCACGCCCACGCCCAGGTACTGCCCCTTGATGACCTTGGCCAGCTGCGGCAAGGGGCCGCGGGCGGCCACCTCCCGCACGTACGAGCCCTCATCCCCCCACTGCACCGCCCCCACCACGGCGGCCACGTCGCTCGAGCTCATCTTCCTCCGCGGCAGTCACGCCCCACCATCACACACGCGCTTGCACGCACGCACGCACACCCTCGCTGCCAGCGGCCGCTCTCCGTGTTCCCCTCGAGCGTCGCTGGCCGGGACACTCCGTCTGAGACGGTCGCGCGACGCTGCTCCTCGGCGGCGCCTCTTGGCACTCTGGCCGGCCAAACTCCGGCGGCACTAGGTCACCTGGCACTGCAAACGCCTCGAGGAATACTTCATCTTGCACTCGAGTTCATCACGATGCCTCAGT